GTTGACTGCTTGCCAGATAGAAGAATTAAGTTTGCCAGCTCTTGAAGTAATAGCTCTTGCCTCGATAATGACTTCAGCCAGTCACTTAAGAATCATAATGAGCATCTGAGACTGAACATACAGAAGTGATCACTCAGAGACATCTCTCATCTTTGAAACATTCATCCATAAAACCGAATTAGAAGACAAAGAGCAGTAAAGTAGATCTGAAAATATTGGCCAGCTATGAAGTGATGAGGGTCTACTCAGAAAGGCTGCAAGGAACTTAGCAGACACACAAGATATTCCAGACAGGCTAGATTATAATATTATAACTTAAAATGACAGTGTCAGCATCCATGGTCAAATGAAGATCAGAAATGAAGTCAGTCCAGTACAGCAAAGGAAATCATGAGCAAAATGAAAAGGCAACCTGCAAAATGGGAGAAGATATTTGCAAACGATGCAACTGACTACGGCTTAATTTCCAAAATATACAAACAGCTCATATAACTTGAGAACAGTACAGCAAATAACTCAGTAGAAAAATGGGCAGAGAGAGAGGGTTGGATTGGGAGTTTGGGATTAGCAGATGTAAACTGGTATACATGTAATAGATAAACAACAAAGTCTTATTGTACAGCACAGGGAACTGTATTCAAGATAAATTATTGGCAAAGAACATAGAAAAGAATGTATATATATATATGTGTGTGTGTGTATATATGTGCAACTGAGCCCCTCTGTTGTGCAGTGGTAATTAACACAACACTGTAATTCAACTATACTTGAATAAAAGATAAGTTTTTTTAAGAAGAGGGACTTTCCATGTGGTCCAGTAGTTAAGAATGTGCCATGCAATGCACCGTTTCAATCTCTGATCCACGGAGGTAACACATGCCGCAGGACAACTAAGCCTGTGCACCACAACTACCGAAGCCTGTGCACTGCAGGGTCCATGTTCTGTAACGAGAACTCACCGCAGTGAGAAGCTTGTGTACCACAACTAGAGAGTGGCCCCCACTCGCCACAACTGGAGAAAATGCACACACAGCAGCGCAGACTCAGCACAGCCCAAAATAATAAAAATCACCAAACAAATAAAAATTTAAAAAAAAGAAATTAAATCAGTCTAGAATTCATTTTATGAAATGTCGAGCATCTTCTTTCATGGTGATGAAATTACAGGCTTTTTATTTCCCCCCTTGATATTGAATTGCTTTAATAATACTTTTTATTATCAGATAAAACAATAAGGCAATTTCCATTTGGGGTAAAAAGAAACTTAAATGAATTCAAGGCATATCTGAAAGTACAAATCAAGGGTGAAACTGGATTCCGCTTCCAAACACCTGGTTTCATGCACCCTCAAAGGAGACAAATTCAGCAGCAGGAGCACACTTGTAAATTACAGATCTAAATTTACAGGTGGAGGGCTACTGAGAGGCAACAGGAAAGCAAATGGTGTTGATGACTGCAGTAGGCAGGCTCACACTTAGGTTTGCCACTTGGGGCCCTAGACTCCCACATATTACACTATAAGCAAAGAACTTTCAAGACCACCCACATGTACACGAGCAAGTCCACCAACAGGTAAGACAAGAGTTCTCATACAGCCCTGTACAGTGCCCAGATTTCATACCCTTTCCTGACACTTCCTCTCTGCCTAACTTCAAAGCAGTGAGCATGGGAGACTTATCTATACTTTTATGTGTGTGTATGTATGCTCAGTCATAGTCTGACTCTTTGTAACCCCACGGAGCTGGTCAGGCTCCTCTGTCCAGGGAGTTCTCCAGGCAAGAATACTGAAGTGGGTTGCCATTTACTATTCCAGGGGATCTTCTTGACCCTGGGATCAAACCCACATTTCTTGTGTCTCCTGCATTGGCAAGTGGATTCTTTACCACCAGTTCTAGCTGGGAAGCCCCAAATTTTTTAGGCCATGCTACATGGCATGTGGGATCTTAGTTCCCCAATCAAGGATTAAATCTGGGCCACTACATTGGAAGTGCTTAGTCTTAACCACTGGACCACCAGAGAAGTCAAAAAAATTTTTTTATAGTTGACCAATATATAGCACCATTTATCTGACTCCTGCAGACCAATAATGCAGTTTATTTACATGTGGGGTCATTTATAAATACTTTATTAAACTCATAAAGATATCCCAGAACAAACACCATCTTTCTAAACACAATGAATAGATAATCGAGCTTAAGATTTTCTTGGGATTAGGTATTTCCAGTATTTTACCTGATCAACGGCCATAAGTTCATTTATTTCCTTACATTTCATCTAACAAAGATTTTCAGGTTAGTGTTTTCAGTTGTATACAACCAGTATTGCAGATTTTACTGATTTTGAACAGCCTATTCCACAGGGCACTTTTTTCTTTTAAGCCAAGTTGAAGGTTTTTTTTTTCTTATAGTAATAAATTCTTTCTTTTTAATTTAAAAGAATGTCAAATTAATTTTTGAAAAGTTCAGGTTGCCTTTGCTTTGAAAGATGCTACACACTGTGCTCAGCCCTGGGGATATCTGCCAGACATATGCAGAGGAGTAAAGAGTAGTACAGAGAAGGGAGAGCATGAGGATATAAAGCCCGTACAGTCACACACCTGTGTGTGGGCTTAAGAGAGTAGATGAGCTGGCTATTAAAATGCACCACTGACATCTCTGACTGCAGATAGCATAGCTCATTGACAGCCCAGCCAATGCTCTCTTGATCCTCTGGGCTCCTTCTAGCCAACAGCCGAGCGCAGCAAGGGTCCATCGTATGGGAGGTGGGACTCCAATGGACAATCTGTGTTTGAGGATGCCCATCAACCTCAGAGAAATGTACTTACAGGTGCCCAGAGTCTAAGACTCTTCCTACCCACTCCTCCGTCCTTCCCTTCCCCCTCTCACAGGGGCCAGACTCTAATCATGATCTGAAGGCTCTCCCTATCAGATTGCAAAAATGTTTGCAAATCCTGTATCTGATAAAGGGTTTCTATTTCTAGGATATATAAAGATTTCCTACAACTCCACAGTCTGGACTCTGATCACCAGGTTACCTTCCCCCGGAGAGCTGGGGAAGGGTCTGCTCTAGTATCATGTTGAAAAGACATACAGTGATCTTTTTGCTGCATTTCCAAGTTTCAAATAATCTCTTTAAGCATCTGTTTGTTTTGCTCATATTTATTTCTGAAGCAATCACTTAGGTCCTTTTCTCCTCTCCCTTAAAAATCTATTGACCAACTGCACATCAGCCAACATCGTTCTTGAAGCTAGAACTTGTATATATTTCTTGTTTATTCAAATTAGCATTCAATCCATACAATAAACTCCCTTTGTTCCACCTTCCTCTGTGAGGACTTGCCCAGCCACTATCCTCTGTCAGGTTGACTTGTGCAGCCTGGCAACCTTGTGGACAAAAAGCAGCAAATCATACACATAAATCTTAAAAATGAACATCATAAAGGCTGAGGAAGAGCTGAATGGGTGAGGGGGGTGGATTCTAATGAAAACAACATCAGAATTAGACGTATGACCTAAACCCTTTCAAAGGAGAGGAAAACTACCTAACTGCCAAATCTCATTTGTAAGATAGTCTTACGACGTGCAATAAAGTCTTAAAGTACAGATACCTCATTGCACAAAGTCTAAAACTACCAAAGTCCTCAAGAAGTGGAGCAATGTAGTTCTATGCATTTGCAGTGACAATGGATCTTCCAGAGCCTGCTGTAAAAGGAGCTGGTCTTTCTGACTCCCACCTTCTGCCTTCAAATCCATCCAGCAGGCCCCACCCAGGCTTTTCTTCAGAAAACACTTCATCAGCTCATGCCATTTTTGTACTTCCTTTTGATTCCAGGGCAGGCTCTCAAGTGTTTCTGTGATCCATCTGGCTCCACTCCAGCTGCTCATTTTCAATGATCAGTGCAGCTGATCTTGTGCAGTGGTTATGAAACTTAAGCTTTCACCAGCATCACACAGATCGTAGGGTCCCATCCTGAGTCTCTGATTCTGCAGGTCAGGGGTTTGGGCCCAAAGATTTGCATTGCTAGCCATGCTCCTGAGTGAGAGCGCACACTGTGAGAACCACCTCCTGAATCCAAGCTTGGACTACTCTTTTCTAAAGCAAATTAGGAATTAAGAAGCAGCCCTTTGAGAAAGGAGACTTGGGTGATGGAAATGTTCTGTATCTTGATTGACACACGCTTACACTGATACACACCTTTGTCATACTCATCAAACTGTTCACTTAAAATGGGTATATTTTACTGTATGTGAACAAGCCTCAATAATATTGATTTCAAACTTAAAAAACAGTGGAATTTTGCTCCTGTACATTTGCAGTGACATATCCAGTCAATCTTATTTACTGAGTCCTCTCTTGGTGATAAGCACTCTGATAAATTTTACGAATATAAGTGTCCTTAAGATGGTGGTCTTGTACTTCGATTTTTCTCAGTCTGAGGGTGGATACTAGGAAGTATACTGCCAATTACATTAGTTAGTATTAATAGATGTTAGAATAGGGGAATGTCAAAGCCCCATGGGATGTTGCACTAGAAATGATGATTTTTGTATTCTTTTTGTAAAACAAACTGCCTGGTCCACAGTAATTGATGAGAAGGTGACATCAACTCTTCCATCCCCTGGACCATAGCTGGCTGAAGCAAGGACCTCTGGTCCAAGCTGGATGGATCCAGGACTGGGGATGGGGACTCTGAGGCTGAGCCAGTTGGCTGTTAGAACGATAGAATTTAGAGCTGAGGGAAGCATGTGTAAGCAAAGGAGAGCAAGGAAGGGGACCAGTGGGGAAATAAGAAATCAAACTTCTACAGATCTAAGATGCTTGACAAAGTTCTGGTTCCTCTCAGGCCCAGTTATAAGCACCCCTCTTTGCAAAGAGCACTGGGAGAATCTCCTGGAGCAGTGGCTCTTGCAAATGGATATGCAGAAGAAACATCCAGGCAGCTTGCTTATGTGCCAATTCCTTAGATTTTGGGGTTGGGCAGGTGTGGGCAGGCTGCAGGGATGGGTACTTCGAACCAGCACCCTAGTGATCCTGAGGTAAGCAGTCTGTGGAATCATATGCTGAGAAAGAAACATTACCCTACATCCATTTGTTTGGTTGGTTGTTTTTAACTTGAACTCTGAGTGGGGGTCCGGTTCTTCGAATTTGAGAAATGGAATATTTCCTACTATATCAGTAAACAAAAGATGTCCCAGTCATTAGTGACTGCAGCCCTGAGGAAACTCGGGAAGAAAAAGAATATCTGCCATCTAACAGCCGTCAGACAGCAGCCACTCCCTTAGGTGAGCCCTGAAGAAACGCAGGATGTGAAAACACAGACACTGACCCCAGACAGAAGAGGTGCATATCAAAGGATTAATTTCAGTGAGCCCAGACTCTTGGATCATTCCATCCATAAAAAGCACTAAATTCCTTGAGATATCGGATTTATTTCAATTAAAAATAATCTTCTGGTGTTCAGAGTAGTTGTCTTTTGTTACAAAACTTGTATATAACCTGGATCTTCCCTTCACCTTATTGGAGCAGTTCTCTCAGGGTAGAGATGCTGCCTCCTAGGTTTGAAGTCTGAAAAATTCCTGCTGAATAAAACATAACTCAGCTTTTAGGTTGCAAATATTTTTCAAGTTGACAAATCAAAAAGCTCTAAGACAGTAGTACCAGGTTTAGAAAGTTAAGGAAAGCCATCAAACTGAGATGTGGGTCTTCAGGGATAAATGAGAACTAGTCAGGCAAAGCGTGTATGTGTGTATGGCTGGGGAGGGGCAAGAGACGGAGGTTGTACAAAGGATCTAAGAGAATGGTATTATTTGGGGGGGGGAGGGCAAAAGTCCTTCCATGTGGTTTGTACTGTGTGTGTGTGTGTGTGTGTGTGTATGAGAGAGAGAGAGAGAGAGAGAAGAAACCACAGCATGCAACAAACACAAAACCCTTTGTTGAAAAAGAGTCATCTCATTTCTTCCAACAGGCAGCCTTCTCTTCCTTTCCATGCCTCAGGGCTTCTGCTGGCATACTGGCTGCCATTTTCTATTTCCCCTACCCAGACCCTTTTTCTCTCTGGTTAGCTTCTCGGGCATTTGTAGAATCAAAACCCACCATTTTAAAAGAGCATTTAGTGCTAAAGCCTACAGAAGAAGGCCTTGAGGCTTTTTGCCCTGGGGCTCAGTTTGGGAGTCTGCCAGGAGCACTCGGTGTGAGGCCTGAGTGAACCTGGAAATATGAGGCAGCTTACACTCAAGAAGTGTGTAAGACTGAGGGGGCCAAGAGCCCATGGAAAACTAATCCTGTTTTCTTCCCATTGTGTAGAAAAATTCTAAGGTGCATTTAGCTTGGCATCTCAGAGAGCAACCCCAAGTGGGACGGAGGTGCAGCTACCCTCTGGTGATGTGCATGTGCATCCTGCTTCCCGTGTGGATGCAGAACTGTCACCTGCCGCATCAGTAAACAAAGGGTGTTGTGACCTGTGACCATCAAACCACAGGCCATTGCAGCTGCCCCTGATTGCGCACCCTGAGGGGATTCAGGGTGGGGAAAAAAAAAAAAAAACAGGTATTAGCTCTAGATATTTACCGCGCATATCAAAGGAATGATTTCAGTAAGTCCAGACTCTTGCACCTTCCCGTTCACAGATAAGTGCTAAATTCATTAACTTTAAAGGTATATTTTTTCTTTAATTAACAGTAATCTTTTGATATTCTGACTACCCGGATTTTGTTGCAAATATTCCCAATTATTCTGGTCCCTCTCTTACCTATGTGAGAGCACTGCTCCCAGGCTTAAACCGTCAGCAAATCCACTGACTAAATCATAATTCTGCACTTTCAGGTTGTGCTTTTTTTTTTCCTTTCAACACTTGTTTACAAACACCTGCTCCTTGAGATTTCCTCCTAAAGTAAACCACAGGCACCCAAGCACTCATCTCCAGTTGTACTTTAAGGAGAAGCTCAATAATGATAATGAAAGCGAAGAATGAAAGTCAGAAAAATGTAGAAAGGCTTATCAGTCCCTCCTGGCCTTCCCTGTAAGGTGCTTGTTCATGTTATGAAGTCTAAGCTCGGTCTGCACACCACACAACAGGCCAATTAACCAAGAGATGAGGTGTTAAGGCAAGGACTACGACTTTATTCGGAAAGCTGACTGACAGAGAAGATGGAAGACCAATGCCTCAAAATAACCATCCTGTCTGGGTCTGAAAGCCAGGTTCTTTTACAGGACAGAGACTGGGAGGAGTTGAGGAAGTAAAGACCCTTATCTTGAAAAAACTCTTGGAATGACCAACCTCAAGGAGGGGATGTGTTAACTGCTTCAGGCAATGTGCAGGGCTCCCCAAGACAGGTCATTATGCATGATTATAGTAACAAAAGCAATGGATAACAAAGGTTACAGTCAAAGAAACAGATTCATCAGTCCAGATGTGGTTCTTCCCTGCGACATTCCTGTCTTCAGCACTCTCCTATTTTGACATTGTTGTAGGTATTCCCAGGAGAATACCCTTAGTTCTGTCTGGAGTGAGTGTCTATTTTATCCTGGGGGAATCAACACTTAAATGCTGTTGTGAATCAGATCCTGTCATGTCTCTGCTTACTATCCCATTGGCTTCCCATTGGACTCAGAATAAAATACAAAGGCACAGCCAATGTGGTGTACAAGGCATGCCATGATTTAATCTCATCTTACCACTCTGCCCTGCTCACTCTGCTCCAATCACACTGGCTCATTTTCTGTTCTTAAAACTCAGCAGACACATTCCTTCTTCGGGCCTTTGCACTAGTCACAACGTCTGCTGGGAGTGCACACCTGCCCAGGTATTCACAGGACTGCTTCCTTCTCAGTATTCTGCTGCTCCTGCTGCTGCTAAGTCGCTTCAGTTGTGTCCACGTGACCCCCTAGAGAGCAGCCCACCAGGCTCCTCTGCCCCTGGGATTCTCCAGGCAAGAATACTGGAGTGGGTTGCCATTTCCTTCTCCAAGTCTCAGATTTCTAGCTCAGATGAAACACAGACTCTAGAGACAGGCTTTATTCCATTGCTAATCCAAAGTTATATCCCTCCCCGAGTCACACTCTCTCAATCTTTAAGGTCCTCATGGTCCTTCACACAATCACTACAGGTACTCAAGAAGTGTTTCCTGGGACTTCCCTGGTGGTCCAGTGGCTAGAAATTCATGCTTCCAATGAAGGGGGCTCAAGTTCAATCCATAGTGGGGGAACGAGACTCCACATGTCACAACTAAAAGATCCTGCAGGTCTCAACTAAGACCTGGTGCAGCCAAATAAATAAATATTTAAAAAATTATTTCCTGAAAGGATGAATTAATGAACGATGAAACCTCTAACAAGTTGTGAAGTCTGCACATGTTTAGTGGTACTTTGATTAATTCACTTATTATTTATTCCAAGCCATTTTCTGACTTTGATTCTTGGGATGCAAGAGGCCTTGGGGTCAAAAGCTATAATCTCAGAAGTCTGTGCACATACTAGTGTAAGGTATGTAAAGCTAATGTCTATAAAAACCAACCCCCAGGTCTCATGGGGTAAGCACATTAAAGGTTGCTTTCTCATTACGTCATGATCCAGGGCAGGACAGCTGTGGGGTAGAAAAGAATTCTGTTTCCTGAAATTGTCTGGCATCCCAGGATCCTTCCTTCTAGTGTGTCAACCCCCAGGGCCTCAGGATTGGACACCAGATCTTCTGCATCCAGAAGGCAGATGAGGGTAAAGAAGGTCAGGAAAGTAGTGGGGGCACCTTGTATGGCACCTTATATTGTAACAGCAAAAACCACTTCTACCCTCATTCCGCTAGCCAGAACTCAGTCTCCTCCGCTCCCCCACCATAATCCTCCAGCAGGGGAGGCTACTGTTGGTGTTGTTCAGTTACTCAGTAATATTTGACTCTTTACGATCCTATAGGTTGCAGCATGCCAGGCTTCCTTGTCCTTCATTATCTCCCTGAGTTTGCTCAAACTCATGTCCATTGAGTCGGTGATGCCATCCAATCAGCTCATCCTCTGTCGTCCCCTTCTCCTCCTGCCTTCAATCTTTCCCAGCATCAGGGTCTTTTCTAAGGAGTCAGTTCTTTGCATCAGGTGGCCAAAGTATTGGAGCTTCAGCTTCAGCATCAGTCCTTCCAATGAATATTCAGGATTGATTTCCTTTAGGACTATCTAATTTGATCTCCTTGCAGTCCAAGGGATTCTTCTCCAGCACCACACTTCGAAAGTGTCGATTCTTCAGCATTCATCCCTCTTTATGGTCCAACTCTCACATCCATAAATGCCTTCTGGAAAAACCATAGCTTTGATTATACTGACCTCAGTGATTTTGGGAGCCTAAGAAAAGTCTGTCACTTTTTCCATTGATTCTCCATTATTTATCATGAAGTGATGGGACTGGATGCCATATTTGTTTTTTGAATGTTGAGTTTTAAGCCAGTTTTTCATTCTCCTCTTTCACCCTCATCAAGAGATTCTTTAGTTCCTCTTCACTTTCTGCCATTAGAGTGGTAGCACCTGATATATTTGAGGTTATTGATGTCTCCCAACAATCTTGATTCCAGCTTGTGCTTCATCCAGCCCAGCATTTCTCATGATGTACTCTGCATATAAGTTAAATAAGCAAGGTGTTGATATACAGCCTTGATGTACTCCTTTCCCAGTTTTGAACCAGTCTGTTTTTCCATGTCCAGTTCTAACTGTTGCTTCTTTAGTTTCTCAGGAGGTAGGTAAGACATCTGGTATTCCTACCTTTTTAAGAATTTTCCACACTTTGTTGTGATCCACACAGTCAAAGGCTTTAGTATACTCAATGAAGCAGAAGTAGATCTTTTTCTGGAATTCTCTTGCTTTCTCTATGATCCAACAAATGTTGCCAATTTGATCTCTGGTTCCTCTGCCTTTTCTAAACCCAGCTTGTACATCTGGAAGTTCTTGGTTCACATACTATTGAAGGGGAAGTTGAACAACAGAATTTCTCTGTGTGCCACCCAGGAGGTAAAAGAAACAGGCTTTGGTGAAAAGTGTCCCTCAGCCTTCAGATGATGACA